GTGGTCAGTCTGTGGACACACTCAGCGCTGGGCCCCGGGGTCAGTCTGTGGACACACTCAGCGCTGGGCCTGCCACTCCCACCATGCCGCGGCTGTGTCTGCTCCCCGCTGTGGGAAGGCCACGTCAGCCTGCCGCCACACTAGCAGGCGTGGGCTGTTTCCTGCTTGTCGTGGACAATGCTGGCATGACTCGCAAGTGTCCACACAGATACGTTTTTGTTCCCCTGGGCACCTGTGTGGGGCAGCACTGCTGGGTCAGATGGGGCCCTGTGGTCCCTGATTTCAGGAAGCAGCAGCGATGGTTAAGGGTCCCATTCCCCATCTGCTGTCCTTTGCTATTGGCTGACTGTGGGGGGGGGGGCAGTGCAGTGGGCCTCTCCAAGGAGACCGTGTGCTGTAACCTGCGGGTTCTGCCTTGGCACCACCGGGCTCATCTGGACTCGTCTCTGCTGGGTTTTGGTGGTGGTGGTGTTTGTTAGCTGGACAAGTAGAGTTATCTGGGACACCTCCTGGATTGAGAAAACGCTTCCATCAGAAGGTCTGTAGGCAGTTTATGGGGCATTTTATTGATTAATGATTATGGGAGGCCCCTAGCCCACTGTGGGTGGGGCCACCCCCTAGCTGGTGGTCCTGGTTTGTAGAAGAAAGCAGGCAGGGCAAACTACAGAGAGCAAGCCGGCAGGCAGCACTCCTCCATGGTCTCTGCTTCAGTTACTGCCTCCAAGTTCCTGTTCGGACTCCCATTCAGGATGGACTATACACTTCAAGCTGAGATAATCCCTCTCCTCCCCAAGTTTGGTCATGGTGTCTATCACAGCAGCAGAAAACAAACTAAGACACCGCCCTAAGGACAGACGGACCACCTCTTGCTTTCTCAGGCTCCAGCTTTCGCAGGGCCCCTGAAAGTCTTCAGATGTCCCCTCCAGCACACAGTGGCCTGCTTTCCCTGTGTGTTCTGTGTGCGAGCCTCAGGCTGGGCGGCTGCCCCCGCCCCTTTACTCCTGTATCCCAGGGCCTCTTGCTTTGTTATCAACCTGACCATTTCTGGAAGTCTGACCATTCTTGAGTTTAACTTGGGTCCCTGGCAAGGTCAGCCAGCTGGACCACAGACACCGCACACCGTAAGCACAGGTGCGCTGGACACACTCCTCTCTGCTTTACTTCACAAAGTGAATTCGCTCCACTTGAGGACCCTCACACACACAGTTTTTAAAATCCCAATCATTTTCTCTCCTGTCTCCTGGCTGTCTGCCCAACTCAAAGCGCAGCTCCCCGGCCAGCCAGAGCCCCTGGGCAGGGCAGGCACAGAGCAGAGAACCTGGGCCAGGGAGAAGGGAAAGGGCTCCAGGAAGGGCGCGGCCCTGGGAGCACTTCCGGTAAGTGTGGGCTGCTTTGGGAAGTGCTCTGCTGCTGCCCTCTTGAGGGGAGGCCTGGCCTTCACCCTGCTATCTCAAGAGTGCCCTCTTGAGGCTGTTCTGCCTCAAGACTAGAAACCCCCCAGAGCAGGATTGGAGGCTGTGCACCCCGGCTTCTTTCCTAAGGCTGGGGACAGAGACCCTCCACCAGAGTCACTGTGGTGGGCAAGAAGGCCTGAGCTCTCCTGCAGCCAGGCCCCGTGAGGGTTAAGGTCCCCATACTTGGGGAGCCCCCGGATCACCTCTGGATCCCTGGTGGGCGTGGCACCTCCTCTTGTGCTTTTAACTGCTGCTTGCCTCACTCATCCCACAGTGGACGTCATCTGGATGACAACCGCCTAGCAGCCCAGGCTACCCAGAACAAAGCGAGGAAGAAAGGTTCCTCTGGGGACAACGTGAGGACTCACCATGCTAGTGAGGGAGGACCCTACAGCACACCCAAACTTCCCTTCAGTGTCCTGACAGGCAGGGCAAGGCTCTCTTCTCCTGGCCATCCCTCCAAAGCCACAGCTCCTTCCCTGCTCAGCAAAGCACACCCAACTGTCTACAGGGCAGAGCAGCTTCCTGTCTGTCCGTCTCGACGGTGGCCTGACAGGGTCAGGGCTGGGGCAGACCTGGGGGGACGTGGTGGATCCACCAGTGCCACGTGTCAGCCCGCGGCTCCCACAGTTCTTGCTGGGAACGCGGTTCTCTGATACGGGGTCTGCCGGCCCAGCCTTCTCTTAGAGCTCACACCTCCAGCTTTCTGGGTCTTGTAGGTAGCTCTCATCTGTCCCTGTCCTTGCTCCTCCAAGACCCCAGCCTCAGGGGTCACCTGGAACTGAATAGGGGCATCTCTCCCTCCCAGGGCAACAGGTCCCCGAGTCTTGTCCTGGGCCAGTTCTACACAACGGCAAAACTGTAGCTGCGACTGGGATGGGTGCTGTAGGGCAAACTACACATTTGCCTTGCTCAGAGGGAAGCCCCAGCACGCAGACAGACGCGGCGGCTGTGTGAGCGTGTCAGGCTGGAAGCCCTGGGGTCTCACACACCAGGTGCTGGACTGCCTTCCCCCTTCGCTGTCCTCTTTTCCTCCCCAAGTTCAACCCAGCTGGATACATTTTCACTGCCTCCTTGCAGACAGCACTGGCCTCGGGCTCCCCTGCAGCGGTCTAACCTTAACCCCGAGTTAACCCACTGTGGGAGGAGGCTGCAGGGCTGGGACTGGCTGGGGTCAGCCAGAAGCGGGGGCTGGCAAGCTAAACTCCCGAGGTAAGCCGAGGTAAGCGGAGCTAGGGCAAGGGGCAACAGGCCAGGACCCCAACCTCTGGGCCCCCCTCTCCCCCCTCCCCGGCAGCTGCACTCCTACCTGCCCGGGTCCCTCTAAGCCAGCTTGTGCGGGGCCACCAGGCGGCAAGCCTGCTGGGGGCGACAATGCTCCTGTCCCACGCAGTCTCGGGTGGCGTGGCTGGCAGGGCTCCCTGTGGGGAAAGCGTGGCTGCTGTTGGCCAGGGTTTGGGGCGGGCAGTGGTGTTGGATTCTGCGGGCTTTGCTTTGAGCTCCCGCCCAGAACCCCCACTAGCCTGGCCTGACAACAGCCACTCTCAGATTCCTCCTGGGAGCCCACCACGGCGCGGCTCCCACAGAAGAGTGTGGCCGGCCCACTACACGACGCTCTTCTCTTCTCCAGGCAGGTTTGACCAATGGCTGGGTCCTAACGGACAGGCAGGAGATGCATGCCAAAGTGGGGAAGGCAGGCGGGGTCTCCTATGGATCCCATCGGCCCAGCAAGGCTGACTGTGGCCCACGGAGTCCGGCTGGGCCTGCCGCTGAGAGGTAGGAAGGCTGTAGGCCTGGACAGGCTGGGGCTAGATTTTGCCTCCCCCCAGCCCCCAAGAACATAAGAGAACTCATAGCCTGTACTTCATGGTGTTGGGAACCAGGAGGTGGGACCCTGAAATTATCCAGCAAGAAACGTGCTTACACGAGGGGATGGGACTTAGGGAAGCTGGCCAATGCAGCGTTACGGGGACATAATGGCTCCAGATTCCTGGGGGCAGGGAGCAGGCCTATGGTCTGGGCAGGGGAGGCATCCAGTATGGGAACTGGCAGTGGAGCACAGGGATGCGTGGCTCTCAGCCTAGGTGCAGATTCAGAGGTAACGGTTCATGCAGGGGGCTCAGGAAAGCCCCAAGGTGCCAGCCCTAAGTGGGGGAAGTTGAGGGCCTTGGTCCGCTGGCTTCTAACATTCTCTGAACTCTGGATTTCCGGTTTCTAAGTACCCTGGCATCTGGCACACACCCTTATGCCACCTCCTGCTTTTTGTCTTTCCTCCCATATTTAAACCCAAACATCAGCTCCCCATCTGCTTCCAGGGCCTGAGCACTGTGGGGAAGGCGGGGATTTGGATCCATGTCTGAGATTTGGGGTAGCAGGTGGGGCCCCTGCCCAGAAAGTCCCAGAAATGGAACTGCAGGGTCCTAACACCTTGAGTCCTCCAGGAAGGCCAGGCTTCTGCCTTTCCTGTGCCGCAGGGGTTCTGCACTCCAACTCTAAGGTGTGGTTGGTTTCCAGCCCCGTATCCCATCCTTCCCTCCGCTCTGTTCTCTGGCTGTACACCTGCAGGGAAAGGGTTAAGGGTGGAGGGCTGGGGTAGGTAGCCGAGAGGCAGGGCTGTTTAGCAATAATCCCATCTCTGTCTCCGTGCTGTGTGCGCGGGGTGTGGAGAACACAGTTAGAACCCCGTGTGGGAAAGGCTTCCACGCTGGTCTAGGTGGGCTTCTGACTTTCCACTGGGCACTGTGGCCGGCTCTCCCTTCTCTTAGGCTCCTGACTGTCTTCACTTTCCCGAGTGTCTCTGCGCCCCCCTGCTCTTCCCTCCCAGCACCATGCCCTCCAACCATCCCTTCCGGTGTCCCATCCTCTGCTGTCTGTCCCTCTGGCTCCCCAAGGTCTGCACCCCCCACCCCCACCCCACCCCTGCCGCCTGTGTCTTTCTTCTCCGGCCATGCCCCATCTCTTCCCTGACCCATCCTTCTAGGTGTTCCCATCTGTTGGCTCTGCTTGTTCCTCATCTACCCCTCACCCTCTCCCCAGGGCCTCTACCCCCTCGACACTGATGGATAACTTTGGGGTGTTAAGCTCTGGATTAGTTCAGGCAAAATTCTCGATTTTGCTTGCGTTCTTTTCCCCCTGGGTTACGTAAACAGTAATTCTCCCCAGATGGAACTATTTTCCTCACTTCAAGGCAGCTGGGGAGGGGGCTCAGGCAGGGCTGGGAGGAATGCAGGGTCCCCAGAGATCCTCAGCAGGGTGGAGGCTGACTGAGGCCCCATCTGCCACCTCTGTCTACAGGTGCCAGCTCTCCTGTGGCCATGCCCACTGCCTTCATCCTCTTGCTTCTTCTTGGCCAGGCCACCTCGGATCCATGCTATGATCCAGAAGGGCGCCCTCGCTTCTGCCTCCCGCCAGTGACCCAGCTGGTGGGCAGGGCCGCGGGCCCCTGCCGGCAGACTTGTACTCTTCCTGTAGCCAGCCCTGGCCCTTCCTGCAATGGAAGTCTGACACTGGACCTGGATGGTCCCTTCCTCTTGACGTCTGTTACTCTGCGGTTCTGCACCCCAGGGCCTCCAGCCCTGGTTCTTTCTGCTGCCTGGGCCGTTGGAGGTCCCTGGAGGCCACTATGGCGTAGGCCTGCCTGGCCTGGAGCTCTGGGGGGGCCCGAGAAGGTAACCTTTCGCTCCCCTCCAGGCCCCAAGGCCAGGATGGTGGCTAGCCACCTCCGTGTGGAGTTTGGGGGCCAGGCAGGGCTGGTGACCACGGGGGTAAGGGGCCGCTGCCAGTGCCACGGCCACGCGGCCCGCTGTGCTGCCCAGGCCCGGCCCCCACGCTGCCGCTGCCGCCACCACACTACTGGCCCAGGCTGTGAGAGCTGCCGCCCATCCCATCGAGACTGGCCCTGGCGGCCTGCCACACCCCAGCACCCTCACGAGTGCTTGCGTAAGTCATGGGTATTGTCCCCAACCCTTGCCACTACTTGGCCCCCAGAACAACATGCAATTCGTCCCTTGTCCCAAAACATGCAGAGTGTTCTCTTCCCCCTCAGAACTGCTTTCCTTTGCTTGTCCTCACACTGTGCTATGGCCTGGTTCCCTTTCCTTATTTGCCAAGCATCATGTCAGACAGACAGACACATAGATAGACACATAGACAGACAGACAGACAGACAGACAGACACACACACAGAACCCTCTGTCAGGGACTCCACTCACTAGATGTAGCCACATGACACCAGGGCAGTCCTGAGCAGAACATATCCCAGGGCAGGGTGTGGCACTGGGTTTGGGCAAGGGTACAAGCAGCACATTTCCTGACTCCTGGAGACATGGCACAGGGATATATAATCATAAAACATTCTGATGGACAACCAGCTGCCAGCCCATTGTCTGGATGGAGAAACTGTGGCCACAGTTCACTTACACAAAGTCACACAGGTACAGGGTATGACTATGGGTCCCAGAGTGCTGCCGTACTAGGTGCCCCAGACACAGCCAGGAGCAGCTTCAGCAGATGGCTTTGCCCGATTTCAGCTCCTCTGCCCACAGCTGTGTGACCTCGGGCAAGGGATCTAACCTCTCTGTGCCTGTTTTCTTCTCCCATCAAGTGGGGACAGCGACAGCACTGTCCCTAAGGCTGCAGAGAAGCCAGTGGGCCAGAGTGCACAAAGCCCCGTCCCTCACCTGTGAGCACCTGCTATGACGCCTATGACATCACTCCCAGGCAGAAAGGAGACCTGGCAGGAACAGAGCTCAGGTGACTTGAGGGAGCTGTGGTCCCAGATGCTGTCATCTCTAGACTCCCCTCTGACACCCCCTCCTGCAGCCACACTGTCAGCTGTCTCCACTTCCACTGTGACCGACCTTCAGCCTAGGGTAATTAACGCACCGACAGACAGACAGACAGACAGACAGACAGACAGACAGACGCACACACACACTCACACATTCCTCAGCCTTTCAGGGAGGCCAGCTCCCAGCCTTCTGCCCTCTACCACCCCAGGGACCAGCAGGGGAGACTCACATGTCCTGAGGCTGGGGCAGGCTCCATCTTGGGCTTGGACAGGGCCTGGGTGTATCCCTGAGTATGATCACAGCTATCCAAATTAAGAGAGGTGCAGCCCTGGGGACCTGGATGACAGGAGGTGACACATCTCTGTGGCTTTACAGATAAGGTAGCTTGACTGTGCCCTACCTGTCAGGTTGTTTCAGAAGGGGAAGTGCGGCAACGCCATCGCTCTGGGTCAGACAGGGGCTGAAGTCTGCCTCTGACAGAGGGGCTGGAGCAGCACTGTCCCATAGGGCCTTCTGAAGGCTCGGGGACGGCAGAGAGCCTCACTGGACAGGCAGCAACCGAGGCTCAGGAAAGGAGTGCCGTTTTTCCCAAGAACACACGGCTGCCTCCACCCGCCCACACCACTGCTGCTCTGCCCGGGGATCTGCCAGCCCAGGTTCTCAGCCTCTAAGTCCAGGTCTTCTCATAGAGTCACCAGGCACTCTGATTCACATCTCTCTGGAATTCCTGCCACACATACAGAGCCCTGGGCCTGGTGATGCTGAACTAGCCTTTGGTTTAGGTGGATGGGTTTTTGTTGTTTGCTTTAGTTTTTCTAAGACTTGTTTATTATGTATCCAGTGTTGTCTGCATGTATGCCTGCAGGCCAAAAGAGGGCACCAGATCCCTTAACCCTAGCACTCCGGAGGCAGAGACAGGAAGATTTCTGTGAGTTTGAGGCCAGCCTGGTCTACAGACTGAGTTCCAGCACATCCAGGGCTACCCAGAGAAACCCTGTCTGGAAAAACTAAAAAGAATGGGCCAGGCACGGTGGGATTCTAGGATATATCTGTGCTCAGGAGACGGAAGCACTAAGATAAGTTCTGGGCCAGCCTGACCTTCATGGGGCCCTGTTTCTTCTGCAACCAACCAAAGAAATATATGAAAAGTTTCCTAGTGTGTCTGCTCAGCAGTGGGGTATGGAAGGCATGGAGGTCCTTGTACTCACAGATTAACACCAGGGGAACCAGACTGTTAAACACACTGCTGTCCCTTCAAAGGGAGGGATGTAGAACTTGTTTTCCACCCAGAAGGCTGGGAGCAGTCTGGTTAATATCCTGGTGACCTCGGCACTATCTGTGTAGCTGAGACTACACCAGACCCTCCCCCCCACACACACTTATCTTGTTTTTCTTCATCTATAGAACAGCTTGTTAATCTATAGAACATCTTTATGGAAGACGTCACTTGTACTTCACAAAGAGTTTCAATGCAGCCATGTCTTAAGCTTTGTTTGCACACAGGATGGAGTTAATTATCACCAGGAAACTTCACCAAATTGTGCTGTGCTTAAATATGCCTAAAATAAACTACTTAGGGTCAGACTCTCAAAGTTTGAGCCAACACCAGCTGCTGAGTCATGTTGAACTGAACTACCTTCTTGCCTCCTGTGGGTCCTTACTCTGCTGGCTGTGGTGGTCGTAGAGACCCGTTTGACAGTTACTGCCTTCAAGAATCTGAAAAGTGCTCCCAGGAAAGCACACACATTCACCACGTCTGTGGGCTCTGTGGAAACCTGAGAGTACACACTCAGATTCTGTCTCTGGCTCCTTCCTGGCCGTGCCGCGTCGGGCAGGTGACGTCATCTGTGTCTCATTTCCCAACCTATAAAACGGGATGGCGCTGTCCTGGACGACCCACACTCAGCGCATACTCTGTGCTGGGTTCTGAGTTAAACATGCTTGTCTCAATCTCCTTGGATGTAAACACAGCCAGTGGGACGGAGCTACAGGATAGAACAGCTTCAGGCAGGGGCAGGGGTCCCCCAGCCCAGCCCGTTCCTTCAGCAATGTGACCTCTCGGGAGGGTCACAGCTCAGCCTGAGAATTAAGGTATCCTGGGACTGAGCCAAAGGCAGTCCCTAAAACCACAGACCTACGTTCTTTCCTCAGGAAGGATGGTAGGGAAAAGGCTGGGGATGGGAGACAGACCTGGCCCTAATGTGTCTGTGTGACGGTTCTGACATCATCTTGTCCCTAGCCTGCTCCTGCAACCAGCATGCCCGACGCTGCCGATTCAACTCCGAGCTATTCAGGTTGTCAGGTGGCCGTAGTGGGGGTGTGTGTGAGCGGTGCCGCCACCACACAGCGGGGCGGCATTGTCACTACTGCCAGCCAGGGTTCTGGAGGGACCCAAGCCAGCCCATCACTAGTCACAAGGCATGCAGGGGTGAGTGTGGCCTGAAGCCAGGCCAAAGGGGAAGGACACAGAGCCAGGGTTCTCTATTGGCAGGTACAGAGGTGGGTTTGAGGGAGGAGGCCAGGGTCTAGACTCGCAGGCTTGGGGAGGGTTCACAGGTTTTGCTGGGAGCCTCTCGGTCCCAAACATCTCATTCCTTTCGTCATGAAGCCTGCCGCTGCCATCCAATTGGAGCAACAGGAGGGATGTGCAACCAGACCAGTGGCCAGTGCTCTTGCAAGTTAGGGGTCACAGGCCTGACATGCAATCACTGTGGCCCTGGATACCAGCAGAGCCGCTCACCCAGGATGCCCTGCCAACGTAAGTCCCACGGCACGTGATGCCGTAAATCCTGGACCCGGGTGGAAGATGACGGTCCAGGTTTGAGTGGGAAACAGTAGTGTGGCTTTGGCTTTTGGGTGGTAGTGGATGAACTCTGATTCTCCAGAGAATATGGGTCTGAAACTACACCACAGACTCTTCAATCTTGGGAAGAAGGCGGCTAAGGTTTTAGACTCGTTCTTGAGGAAGGGGCGGGTCTTGGGGAGGGTAAAGGATGGCTGTACCCTTGGGAGTTGGCATACCTGGATTCCTCGTGGTGATTCCTAGAGTTTAAATTGAACTTCTCTGGTCTGACAGGAATTCCAGAGGCAACAACTGCCCTTGCTACTACCCCTATTGCGTCCCGATCTGGTAAGAGGCTGGCACAGACACTCCAGGCAGCAAGGGGAGTCTGGGACAGGCTGACTGGGTCCAGAAGGCACCCAGCCCTCCTTTTTAGTTATTGTTTGTTTACTTGTTTGTTTTGTTTTAGTTTTGCTTTGTTTTTTTGAGCTAGGGTTTATCTGGGTAGCCCTGGTGGAACAGGGTCTGTAGACCAGGTTAATCTCGAACTCATAGATTGGCCTGCCTTTGCCTCTTGAGTGCTGAGATTAAAGGCGTGCGCCACCATGCCTGGCTTCCAGCTCTTCTTGAGAGGCAGGGGCAGGCAGTGCAGCTGTCTGTGGACATGGGGTGGGGAGATGGGCTGTGATCCAGGCTGTGGAACCCACTGCAGAGCGCCTGACCTCTCCAGACCCGCAGTGTCAGAACTATTGCAGTGTCTGGGACACCAGCGTGCACATGAACCTTCAGAGGTACTGCCAGCAGGACTACGGTGAGTGACGGAGACAAAGGGTCCGCCTTCTTCCTGCCCTTCCGTTTCCTTATTTTAAATGGGAAAGGATATCGACCCTAAAGGACTCTTCCTTGCCAGGATGTGTGAGAACAGGAGACCATGGTGGGGGACGGTGGGAGGAACCCCTACCTTCTTGTGTCTCCTTGTCCCCCACAGTCTTCACTTGCAGTTTCATCCTGTCCTTCAGCCTGACATTTCGGAGTGCTGGAAGGAGAAGAGGGATCTAGAGGAACAGAAGGGCCCTGCTTCTATCCTGTCTTTCTTCCAGTCTCCCTCCCCATCAGTACAGGCCAGTCCGCAATCCGAGGCCCACGAGCTCAGCTCTCAGATGTTCGGGAGTCAGGCCCAGCTAAGAGACACAACCCAATCCCAGCTACTTCCTTCCATACAGGACCATGGGCCCCTTTGCCCTCAAGATCATCAAACGACTTCAGGGTCACACGTCTTTGAAGTGCAGCTTCTTCCACCCTCTTCTCAGGGATACTGACCCCACAGATCTGGCCTGTTAGCCGGAGTCCAGCCCCCAGGCCGGCCCGACCCTTCCTTACCACAGCACTGACTCATGCTAGCATTGACCTTAACCAACTCTCGGGCCTTAGCGCTCAATCCATCCTTTGGACCCCCGATTTACCCCAGGGCCTTTCCGGCAAGACCCATCTCTCCTGAGGCCTCCAATCCTGGGGACCTTCTCACTGTTACACCAACACTCTGACATAGCTAAGCATGGTGGTCCAGGCTCAAAACCTCCAGTTCCCAGGAGGCTGAGGCAGAAAGATTGCTGTGAGTTCTGGATTAGTTTACGTTGCAGAATAAGTCCTAGGCCAGTCTCAACATCTTAGTGAGGCCTTGTTTCCAGAACAGTAGCCACCCTGGAATCCCGAGGCTACTGTTAATAGTACCAGGATCCCAAAAGTTCTAGCCAGTTTTATTGGAAGCCCTCAGGAAACTCCCTGCCTGACCTCTGGGGAACAGGTGAGCATCATCCTGAACCTCCACCTCCCTCGCCTTTCTCAACCACAGCCCTGAAACTCTACGTCACACGCTCCTCCTAATTACAATTCAGGGCACCCCCTGCAACTCGTGTGGCCCTGGAGTTCCCCTCCCCCATGTCACATACCATTGCGGGCCACCATCCTAGACCATCTCATACGCCCTCCCCAACTTTGATCCAGGCCTCTAATTCATATATCCAGACCAGTGGTTCTCAACCTTCCTAATGCAGCGACCCCTAAACACAGATCCCCATGTTGTGGTGACCCCCAGCCATACCATTATTTTCGTTGCTACTTCCTAAATATAACGTTGCTACTGTTATGAATCATAATATAAAGATCTGTGCTTTCTGACGGTCTTAGGCGACCCCTGTGAAAGGGACGTGCGACCCCAAGACAGGGGTCGAGACTCCCCAGTTTGAGAACGGCTAACCTAGACCCTGCCTGCCTCTTTCCACTGCATAGGGTCTTCTCCATCAGGCCTGTCCTGGCTCCTCAGGGACATCTCCTACTTGTCTGACTTGGTGTCTTCCCGCAGTTCTGCACGCACAGGTTAAGGATTCCGAACAGCTTGCAGCGTCGTCGGCGTCGTCGCCGCCGTCGTCGGTGGCTCCTGAGTGGCGGCGGCTGCCCGTGCACGTGCTGGCCGTGTACAAGCAGCGCCCGT